GAACTGTCTCTAGGGAAGGACAAACGAGGAAAATATTTCTGACTCTGAGCTTTGCAGGACCCCTGATACTAGTGGCTATACAATAATTCAAGTAGGCAGTGGGAGAGCCCAGGTAGCTTAACTAGATGAAGCTGAAAGAAAAGAAGAGAAAAAAAGAACTCAGGCTTATATACATACATTCAACGCATGTTATCTATGATGCCAAAGCAAAGTGTATGGGGTTTCCATGCCACCCCTTCCACCCTAGCCCCCCCCCAAACTGCAAGTCACCTTTTTGTGACTTCTTTGCCTTTCCAAGGCTCTTCTTAATGTTCATTTTAAATTGACTTTAACATTCTAACATTCCAATAGATGGTGATTTCATAACTTTGAATAATATATGCTAATTGTATTTGTTGTTCAGTCATTTCAGTCATGTTTGATTCTTTGTTACCCTATTTGGGGTTTTCTTGGCAAAGATACTGAAGTGGTTTGTCATTTCTTTCTCCAGCTCATTTGACAGATGAAGAAACAGGCAAGCAGGGTTAAGTGACTTGACCAGGGTCACATAACTAATATCTGATGTAAGACTCGAACTGAGGTCTTCCTGACTCCATGCCCTGTGTTCTATCCACTGAACCAGCTTGTGCATCTATGTACCCCAACTGCATAACTCCAACCTATCCACACATTTTCATCCTGTACAATTATTTTCTATGTCTTCCCATAAAGCCCATAGAGGATCTTCCCGACATGCTGGAGGCCTTCCTCTAGATATTTTGATGTCTCATGGGAATCAGTGCAGCCCTGGGACTTATTCATCTCTTGGTCTTGCCAGCCATCATTGATCATACATTTCCTGAATAATAACTTTTAAATGTTATCCTTGACATAATCTTTGACATAAAAAAGTGAGAAAAATACTCACTCAAGGTGTCTACCAATCATGGAGGAAGTGGAATCTGAATGGAAGTGAGGTTGCCTGCGCATGATGAGGGCCTCAAGACACTTCTGTTTACATATGACATTGTGCTAATGTGCCAAGCTTGATGATTCTGCAGGGCCTCCTCCTTGAGCTCATAACCACTCAAAACCCTCATAATCCAAAGAGAACAAAACCACATGGAGGAAGAATACTTATTATCCAGATGATGACATGTAGTTAGATGGCCAGCCCATTTAATTCATTCATTAGTACATGTACCTTGGACTAGCATTGTAGAAGGATAGTGAGTTGGGCCCAGAATTGAAGGAAGAGAATAAGCTGAATTGTTTGTTGGAAATTGTGTAACACTGTTTCCTGACACAAAATCCCAACTCTAGTATTTTTCTGATAGTAAAAGTAGTATGGTATATTTGTTAGAGGGCTGGGTTTGGAGACAGGAAGAGCAAAGTTCAAATCTTGCCTCTGACTATAACTGACTGTTTGACCCTGGGCAAAAGATTATATCAAACAATGTTCTAGGACAGATATATGGGATTTTTCACACCAGGAGTTCACCCCATACTGACAAATCACAGATCCTTCATGTATTTATGTATGCCTTTTAATAGTGATGCTATAAGGTTAGGAATAAACCAGTAAGCTTTTTGTTCTTTTAAAAAAATTTTTAAATTAATTCATTTTGATTTATCAATAATCACTTCCATAAGCTTTTGAGTTTTAAATTTTCTCCCCCTCCCTCCCCACCTCCCTCTCCAAGACAGTGCACAATTCTGATATAGGTTATACGTATACATTCCTATTAAACACATTTTCACATTAGTAATGTTGTAAGTAAGAATTAAACCAATAGGAAGAACCACCAGAAAGAGGAAACAAAACTCAGCAGAAGAAAAAAAATAGCAAATAGTGTGCTTCAATCTGCATTCAAACTCTGTAGTTCTTTCTTTGGACGTGGATAGCATTTTCCATCGTGAGGCCTTTGGAGATATCTTAGATCCTTGTATTGCTGAGAAGGGTTAAATCTATCAATATTAGTCATCACACAACATGGCTGTTACTGTGTACAACGTTCTCCTGGTTCTGCTCACTTCACTCAGCGTCAGACCATATAAGTCTTTCTAGGTTTTTCTGAAGTCTGTCTGTTCATCATTTCTTATAGCACAATAGTATTCCATTATATTCATATACCACAACTTGTTCAGCCATTCCCCAATTGATAGGCATCCTCTCAATTTCCAATTCTTTGCCACCACAAAAAGAACTGCTATAAATATTTTTGTACATGTGGGTCCTTTTCCCATTTGTATGATCTCTTTGGGATACAGCTCTAGAAGTGCTATTGCTGGGTCAAAAGGTATGCACATTTTTATAGCTCTTTGGGCATAGTTCCAAATTGCTCTCCAAAATGGTTGGATCATTTCACAACTCCACCAACAATGCATTAGTGTCCCAATTTTCCCACATCTTCTCCAACATTTATCATTTTCCTGTTTTGTCATGTTGGCCAATCTGATAGGTGTGATGTGGTTCCTCAGAGTTGTTTTGATTTGCATTTCTCTAATCAATAGTGATTTAGAGCATTTTTTTCATATGGCTATAGATGGCTTTAATTTCTTCATCTGAGAACTTCCTGTTCATATCCTTTGACCATTTATCAATTGCGGAACAGTAAGCATTTATTAAGCACCTATTAAGTGCCAGTCACTGTGCTAGGTTTTGGGTATACAAAGATAAAAATGAAAAAAAAAATCCTTGCCCTCAAGGAGTTTCTGTTCTAATGGAGGAGACAAGATGTACATATAGAAGTATATGCAGAATAAATGTTAAATAAATATAAGGGAGTTAAGTACAAGGCAGTTTAGTAGGGAAGGTGCTAGCAGTAGGGGAGAAAAGGAAAGTCATCATGTAGGTGGTGCTTTAGCTGCATCTTAGACTATAAAAGAGATTCTGTGAGCCAGAGGAAAGGAGGAGGTACATTCTAGACATGGAGGATGGCCTGTACGAAAGCAGAGAAGCTAGAGAAGGAATGTCGTGTGTGAGGAACAGAGAAAAATAAAGGTTCACTGGAGAAAGGGCATGGGAGGGAGAATAATGCGTAAAGGAGATTGGAAAGATAGGTTGAGGTTGAGTTGTGAAGGGCTATAAAAGCAAAACAGAATATTGTGTAGTTATGTTAAAAGCAATAGGGAGCCCATGGAGTTATTGAGGAAGGTGACATGATCAGATCTGTGCTTAAGGGAAATTTCAAATCATTGACCACTTTACTCTCTAAAGAATCAGAATCGTAGGTGACCCAAAGGGCAATGGAAAGATTCACAGTGGGCATCTATAGGCTTTAAAGATCATCAGCCTAACCACCTGTGTCAAACTGTTTTGGGGTGAAGGAACAGGGACGTGGAGTGGAGGGGTTTACCACACGCTCTTCTATCCACCATGCTAGAGAGAGAAGCCTGGCATCAGGGAAGGACTATGTTGATGTATATATTCTCTATTGATAACTATCATTTCCCTCCCCCACCCCCAGGCTATCTGGTAAAGTACAATTTTTCTCTGTCCTACACATGGACATTTATTAGATGTGGTGGAATTTTGGTCATTCAGTGCCAATTGTCTTTAGTATAAATTTTGATACATTGCCAAATGTTTCCTCTTCAAGTTCAAAATACTTACCTTCCTAATATAAAGGCCTCTCATTCAGGGGAATGCTAACCCTGTACATCCTCCACAGCCCAGAGTTATTTATAGATCACTGAACCCAGCAAGCTATGGTAAGCTCTTTCCCTACCATTGTCCTTTCCTCTTACCAGTTTTTGGTTCCCTTTCTTTTCCCTGAAATATTGATTCTGGCTCAGCCTGTGCTTTTGATTGCTTTCTTGATTTCATTGTGACACAACCTTTGTTTCCAGCCTTTCTTGGACTCTAGCTTTGAAAACCTAGTGATGCTGACCTCTTCTATATGGATCCACTCTGTCCCTGACCCTTTATGGACTTTATCAAGAAGCTCCAGCTCCTGATCCTCTCCTGACCAGCAAATGTTCAGTTGGTCCCAGACCCACAGTATTTTATTCCAATATCTTGAAAGACTTATGACTGCCCAACATTTAGAGAGTCCCACCTATGGTACTACCCCTGCTTAAACAGAATAATCCTATAACTTTTCAGGATCCTATGAGGCCTGAGGCAAATCTGCTGCCCTCTCTCTGTCTCAGATTATTCATTATTTAAATATTGATCAATATTTTTGCCTATTTTCTGGGAAGTTATGTGAATTAATGTTTATAAAATAATTTGAATATGCATAGCACTCCATAAATATCAGCTAGTATCATCTTCATTGCTTTAGAAGTCCCAATAATTCATAATCCACTATAATATAGGTAAAAATAGTCTTCTCCTGTTCTATAATTATATATAATTTATGTAAAATGCATACAATCTTTAAAATCTGAAGTCATTTAATAGCAGCAATTCATATTTCATAGCTATAATGAAACCATTTTTATTACTGTTGGAAAAAATAATCAACTACTGCTTGGAACACTGGACTAGAAGACATATTTGTAGCAATTTTTGAGATCCTTGCATGGCAAATATGACTTATGTAATTAATGATGAACCTGCTAATACTAGCTAATTTTTAAACATTATCTTTGGCTTTATACATTTCATTTCTCATTTTTCTCAGAACTATAATCTTTCTTTCTCAAGGAATTTTCTTGTACAAAAGTTTCCTGAAGTCAAAACACGCTCTGTTAAGAGATAGCACTTTTACATAGTGGTCATTAAGATAGAACAAATTCTTAAGAGCTCCCTCATTAACTGCCATGCTATCTTTGTAAAGTAGAAATCACTACATGTTAATTGGACTTAATTAACTATTTTAAATTATGTAAACTCATGACAGTAGACAGTAGTAGTACAGTGTATTACTAAGTAATATAATTGGAGCTGATATTACTACATTATTAAAACATAATAAAATTTTTCTTAGTCTTATTTATTGTTTACATGTTGAAAAACTAGGTTCACTATAAAGGCAAAAGTGCTTTCTCAAAACACATTTTTGCTCATTTAGGTACAACTTCAGAAGATAGTCAAAGGGACCACCATTGAAAGCCTCAGTGTTTTGCCATCTCATCGAATGAATCCCTACCTCACACCTCTACCTATCCTTGAAAAAGATGCAAAGAAAGGTCAGTGACCCATTGATCAGATTTGTAATATAGCAGAAAGAGCTCTGAACCAGGTACTAGAAGAACCGACTTTGATATCCAGCTCTGCCACTGACCAGTTGTGTAAATATGGGCAAGTTATTGGGTTCCAGTAATTCTGGCCTCCAATTTCTTATCAATTCACATGGTTTGAATTATTTAGCAATTCGATGCCGATGACTCCTGTGTGTGTATAGTCAGTCACAGTCTTTTTCCTGAGTTCTAGGCCTGTATCACCACGTGCTTTTTTTTGACATTTTATTTTATGTTATTTTTGGAGGCAATCAGGGTTAAGTGATTTGCCCAGGGTCACACAGCTACTAAGTATCTGAGTTTGGATTTGCACTCAGGTCTTCCTGACTTCAGGGTCAGTGCTCTATCCACTGTGCCACCCAGCTGCCCCTTTTTTGGACATTTTAAATGAGATGTCCTACAGGTATCTTGATTTCATCATGCCCAAAATAGAACCTGGTCATGTACAGTCTGTATTTTAGTTCCCATTCTATCTTCCCTACTATGGTTCCACATATGAATACTAAGTCTTTTTTTTTTCCTTTGTTAGGCAATGGAGTTAAGTGACTTGCCCAGGGTCACACAGCTAGTAAGTGTTATGTATCTGTGGCCAGATTTGAACTCAGGTCCTCCTGAATCCAGGACTGGTACTCTATCCACTGTGCCTCCTAGCAGCCCCTGAATACTCAGTCTTAAAATCATGATATATGTCTCTCATGTTTCACTAGCTACTCATTTCTTGTCTTCTCACACTCCCACCCCCAACAGATGCCTTCTTCTGTTTCTCACCCATCAATCTTCATTCATAAGTAACTCTTGCCAACTGTTTTCTCAACATCTACTCTGAGCTACTGAGAGAATCATGACATTGACATCTTCTCTCTTGGTGATTATGTCAGCTTCCATGAGTTCACTTATCCTCTCTTTGCAGAAGGATCCCTAATTAATCTGTATCCAGCCCAAGCCTGTCTCCTTAGTTTCAATCGTGCTTTCCCAATTAATTACCGAACAGATCCATTGGGATGCCCAATAGGCATGTCAAACTCAACATGTGCAAAACTGACCTCATTATCTTTCCCCTTAAACCCAACAGTCCTGCATATTTTGCTATTTTTGTTGAGGTTACGACCCTCCTTCTAGGAACTCAGGTTTCCAATTTCAGAATCATCCTTCTCTCCCTTTTGTCTCATCTTACATATCCATTCAGTTGTTAAATCTCATTGATTCTACCGCTACAAAATTTCTCGCATCCATCCCCTTCTCTTCACTCACGTGACCACCACCCTAGTTCAGGGCCTCATAACATCGTGCCTGAACTGTGGGAGTCTAGGTCTTGCTTGGCTTATAGTAGGCACTTAATAAAAGTTTACTGACTGACTGGACAGCCTCCTAACTGGCTTTCCTGCCTCCAGCCTCTCCCCTGTCCACACAGCTATCAAACAAACCTTCATAAAGTAGAGATCTGACCCTTCTCAGAAACCCGCAGGGGCTCCCAGTTGTCTCTCAGTTAAAGTACAAACTCACCATTTCAGCGTTTAAAGCCCTTCAAGCTTGTTTTTCCAAACTGATTCACATTACTCCCCTTCATGCACTCTGTTTTCCCAGCCTAACTGCGCTGTTTGCTGCTCATCACACTTGCCTCATGATCTCTTGCCTCTGAGGTTGCCCCTCCTACCTGGCCTGTGCTGTCTCCTTCCTTCTGTTTCTTAGTATCTTCTGTTGCCGCCTCTAAGGCTTGACTCAGGCATCGCTTCTCCTCTGTGAAACTTTTCCTCATCACCCTCCTTTTGGGTTCTCTCGTCCTTTTGAAATTACCTTATATTTATCTACGTGTTTGTGTGCTGTGTCTCCTACACGGTGTAAGCTGTTGAAGGCAGGGGCTGTTCTTCATTTTCCTCTCTGTATCCCTAGTGCCTAGCACAGTGAATGGCATATGGTAGATATCTTAGAAATGTTGAGGAGGGCATAGCCAAGATGTGGAGTAAGGGCAGGAATTCACCTGAGCTCTCCCAAATTTGCCTCAAAATGAGTTCTAGAGCGGCAGAACCAACAAAAGGATGGGGTGAAACAATTTTCCAGCCCAAGACAGCTTAGCATGAAAGGTCTGTCTCACTGGGGTGAGAGTGGAGTATCGTCCAAGGCAGGCACAGGCCATGCCCTGGCGAGCCAGCAGCAGGCCATGGGGGCGAATGAATCAGTGGTGGCGGCTATGACTTCAAGAGCGCTCAGCCTACACATGGTAAGGGGGCCAAGTAACTGGTAAGGAGGAGATCACAGGGGATCCTTTGCTGGCCCTAAGAGTAGGACTGTCTTGCATGACCCATACATGGTTCCAGGTTGCAATCTCAGGGTAAAGAGGAGCACCAGCAGGAGCAGGGACCCTGGTCACAGTTCCAGGGTGAAAAAGAGTGCTTGTGGTCATGGACAGACCAGAGCACAGGCCAGGAGGGCAGTGACCACACTTCTCCTTAGATCATGCCACCTTGGAAGAATTGAAAACTTACAGACCCCAAGAACTAGCTCTGAAAACAGCAACACAAAAAAAACCTGAAGTTTGGGACAGCGCCCCATCCAACCAGGAGCCCAGCTTTAATGTAAAGTTAAAAGTGAAGAAATGGGCTGAAAAAATGACCAAAAAAAAACCCCAAAACCAAAAAAACCTGACCATAGAAAACTGCCACAGTGACAAAAAAGATCAAAACACAAACTCCGAAGAAAACAACAAAATCAAAACAGCTACATTTAAAGCCTCAAAGAAAAATGTGAACTTTTCTCAGGTCCTGGAAGAGCTCAAAAGGGTTTTATAAATGAAACAAGAGAGGTAGAGTTAAAATGGGAAAAGAAATTAGAGTGATGAAAGAAAATCATGAAAAAAGTTAACAGCTTTGTAAAGGAAGCACAAAAATATTGAAGAAAATAACAACTTAAAAAACAGACAAATTGTAAAAGAAGCACAAAAATTAACTGAATAAAACAGCACCTTAAAAAGTAGAACTGGCCAAATGAAAAGGAATTGCAAAAGCTCGTTGAAGAAAATAATTACTTCAAAATTAGAACCGGGTGAGTGGAAGCTAATGACTCCATGAGACATCAAGAAACAATAAAATGAAATCAAAACAATGGAAAAAAATGGAAGAAAATGTGAATAACCCATTGGAAAAACAACTGATCTGGAAAATAGATCCAGGAGAAATAATTTAAGAATTATTGGACAACCTGAAAGCCATGATTAAAAAAAGCCTAGCTATCATATTTCAAGATATTATCAAGGAAAACTGCCCTAATATCTGATAACCTGACAGTAAAATAGAAATTGAAAGAATCCATTGATTACTTCCTCAGAGAGATCCAAAAATGAAAATTTCCAGGTATATTTTAGTCAAATTCCAGAGCTCCCAGAGCGGATTGTAATCAGCCAGAAAGAAACAATTCAAATATCATGGAGCCTCAGTCAAGATAACATAAGATTTAGCAGCTTCTACATTAAAGGATTGAAGGGATTGGAATATGGTATTCTGGAGGGCAAAGGAGCTAGGATTACAACAAAGGATCACCTACACAGCAAAACTTGAGTATAATTCTTCAGGGGGGAAAATAAACATTTAATGAAATTGAGGATTTTCAAAGATTCCTGATAAAAAAAACCAACTGAATAGAAAATTTGACTTTCTTTTTTTATTATTATTTTTTATTTTACTTTTTTTATTTTAAAAAATTGACTTTCAAATACAAGATTTAAGAAAAGCATAAAAAGGTAAACAGGAAAGAGAAATCATAAAGGATTCAATAAGGCCAAATAAATTGTGTACATTCCTACATGGGAAGATGATACTTGTAAATCCAAAGAACTTTACTATTGTTAGGGCAGTTAGAAAGAGTATACATAGACAGAGGGCACAGGTATGAGCTGTCTATGATGAGATGATATCAAAAAAATAAAATTAGGGAGTGAGAAAAGGGGATACACTGGAAGAAAGGGGAAGAGAGAGGCAAAATGGGCTAAATTATCTCGTATAAAAGAAGCACAAAAGAGCTTTTACAATGCAGGGGAAAATGGGAGGGGGGTTGACAGGCAACAATCTTACTCTCTTTGGAATTGTCTCAAAGAAGGAATAACACAGATTTGGTTGGATATACAAATCTATCTTGTACTACAGGGAAACTGGAAGTGAGGGAGATTAAAGAAGGAGGATGGAGCTATACAAGAGAGGGCAGATTGGGTGAGGCAGTGGTCAGAAGCAAAAATTTTTGAGGAAGTATAGGGTAAAAGGAGAGGGAGAAAGAAAGATAAACAAGGGGAAAAGTATGATGGAGGGGAATACACAGTAATCACAGTTGTGAACGTGAATGGAATGAATTTACCCTTAAAATTCATCCATTAAAAGCATATAACAGATTAACAACCAGAATCCTGTAATATGTTGTTTACAAGAAACACACTTGAGGCAGAGAGACACACACAGAGTAAAGATAAAGGGCTGCAGCAAAGTCTATTATGCTTCAGCTGAAGTAAAAAAAGCAGGGGTAATAATCATGATCTCAGACAAAGCAAAAGCAAAAGTAGATCTAATTAAAAGAGACAAGCAGGGAGACTACATTTTGCTAAAAGGTGCCATCGATAATGAAGTAATATCCATATACACATATGGATATATGCACATATACACCAAATGGTATAGCATCCAAATTCTGGAAGTAGACACATAACTATACTAGTGGGGGACCTCAATTTTCCCTTCTCAGAATTAGATAAATCTAACTAAAAATAAACAAGAAAGAAGTTAAAGAGGCAAATAGAATTTTAGGAAAGTTAGATATGATAGACTTCTGGAAAAAATTGGATTGGAATAGAAAGGAATATGCCTTTTTCTCAGCAGTACATGGTGCTTACACAAAAATTGCCCATGTATTATGGCATTAAAAACCTCATAATCAAATGCAGAAAAGTAGAAATATTAAATGTATCTTTT